CTCCTGGATTGACAGACTCGGGTTGACAGCAGGGGGAGTTTTCCGAGCGTCTACCCGTAACTGTATTACCAGCAGCTTGCAGCGCTATTTCGTCAAGTGTTATTGACCTGTACACGCTATGTTTAAAGTGCTTGTTCCAACCGTAGCAACTAAAAAGCTTTGCTTCCATGATAGGTCGTAGAAGGTACGGGACACATCACTGTGTACAATTCTCCGAATAAGTGAATGTCTTAGCGTACCATGACACGCCCCGACCTTCGTGTACGCAGTCAGTACCATGGCCTATTGACATCTGTCCGCCCAGTTCTTCTGATCGGCGCGATCGGGCGCGGCTTCGCGTCGCGCGCTCCCCGCGCGGCGCGACGCCCCGCGGCTGGACTGCCCACACGTGGAGATTGGCGAGTACTCCACGCGTTAGCTGGGCGCGGCCCGGCCGGCCCGACTCTGGCAGCGTCAGATGCGGGCTGCTGGTCGGAGGCATCGTCAAGGGAGCGCCTGACTGCACGGCCGCTCTCAGGCGTTGAGGTTTTGCGGAAATTGCGGACGCCGCTGGTCTGGATCGCATCGCTCCCGCTAGGCCCGAACAGGCGCCTCCGTATGGGTTATGCCTGTCGATTCGTCTGTTAGCTGTTTGTTGCTTTGTGCAATTCAGCACCAACAGGGTCACATTCCAGGTCCACAAGGTAACATTTCCTGGCATGACAGGCAAAGTCTACCGGCAAAACGACACGCTTCAGCCTCCACAAATTACCGATTAAAAGAAAAAGCTATGTCACACTGCATTCAAGCATGGTAAAGCTATCATGAAACAGATTTGCCTCGCTCCGATCGATGGATACAAGGGGTATTTACCTCACTCCGCCGACTACAGGAAGGCTTGCCGTTCATTGGCTCATTCGTTCCCGTGATACGGTTAGCGGCGTATGTATGCAGGTCGGTGCGTTGATAAGTTTACTCGCTTCTTCTTTTAAATTTAACTTTACTTACATGTAGAACGAAGTTTCTGAGCAGAGTTTCTGGTAGTGCTGAGTGTTATTGTACGACAAAAAGAGGTGAATCCAGATGCGACACTTGTGCTGCACTGGTTCGGCCCACATGCTGTGGGACTTGGCCGCCACCGCCCAGATTCAAACAAAAAGATCAGGTGCTCGGCTGGCTCGGCTGGTTATGGTCCTGACGTGAGAAGACATGTGTTATCCCGCATCCTTGCGACGTGCAGATGTTTTTTTTTTGGGGGGGGGGGCGCCTAGATACCTGCCACCAGACAGTCGTTCCATTGTCTGGAACCTGCACAGTTGCTGCGCGCGCAAATGCTGATTGGTGAAGAAACGCCACGATATTGAATTATGCTCTGAGGTACTTGGCCGCGCTGCGCACGGTCAGGAGCAACGGCAGCACGTGCAGAAACATTACCGCACACGTATGGGTACGCCGAGTGGTATTGGCGATCAGCACAATTCCTCTATTCCTTGTTTATCAACATCTGGCAGGCCTAGGGCACGCTTATGGGTGTCTCTCATGTATCTCTCGTCACGTAACTCTTTCCAGATCCCCCAGTTTGCTTCCGTGCCAGTGTTCCATTTCAAAATCCAAATGGACACGTATCTGAGTGGGCTGCCACACCAGTTGTTGATAAGATGGCTTAACTGCATTGGCAAGGGCCACAACCGGCACAGCCATTCGCGGCATCTGTGACGGGGTGACCCATAAAAAACCAAGATTTGAGCGTACCGGTGAGTATTGCGTTCGCGTCGCCTGGAGCCACCAAACAGGGGGCGGAGCTTGATTTACGCCCGCAGCACAAGAACGGGGTCCTGTGTATGGGGTATGTCACGAAATCATCCACAACGGGAACATTCATTAGCGCATAAGTGATCACATCGTGATGATTGTCGTGGCTTAACGTGCCAGTTGAGTGCGATGCACTCGGGGGGGGGGGGGGAGGGGGCAATTTGACCCCGTGATATCTCAAAAAGTTGCGTCAAATTTGGAGGTCCCTAGGTCGTTATCTTCTGTTCAGACAGTTTTCAAACAAGGTAAAGCTCCAAATCGGTTCCCGAAGTGTCCTCAGATCGCCTCATGCAACCACGTTTGACCTAGATAACAGTCATCCGTGATCTTGCATTCCTCAAATCGTGACTTCAGAAAATGCCCCTTTGATGACGAGAGCGAATAATCGGACTGCTATAAATAGTAATGTGCTATAATTGGCAATAATCCTGTCAGCAGTACTCGGAGCGTTGCATCACTAGTGTCCCTGATAACCTAGGCGGCCCTGGGGCGACTTCACGGGATCAATCAGAACAAGGAGTGTCTCCAGCAGGACCGGGTGACACCGAACGCGGCACTTCATTGAACTGGTTGGAGGAGCATTTTCCCTGAATGCACATCAGCTTGAGACCGCTTGCCGCGGGTTCCCTCTCGCCCGGCCTGTCTCCCCTGGACGTTAACCATTCAAGAGCTCGCATCACGGTATCACTATGAACAAAAGCGAACGCACGATCGACCACCTGCCGCGGGTTAAGCCGTTAGGCATCCTGGACGGCCAGGGGCCCGTCTGAAACATCTTTTATAGTCACCATTTGGCGGGTGTGGAATCTCTGATGACTTCCACTGGCATCTGGTGTCACTAGTGTTTTCCCATTGCATTGACAGCCGAATGCCACCACAGTCATGATTGTGCGACAAATACAATAGCCACTGTTGAGGAAATCGTCGGTTTACTTTAACCTGGGCCACCCTGTACTTCAATAAGCTGCCACATATTGCAGTCCATTTTGTTGCTGTCTAGACCACCTGTGTTACCTCATGAAATACTTGCCGACATTTTCAGTCTGTCACAGCAGAGGAGGAAGTTTGCATGACAGAAATATGGCGTATAGTCGACGCGCCGCAAACACCAATAAACAACATTATAACAAGAGCATGATTCACGTCCATACCTACATGGTAGCATTTGATACAAAGTGAGCATTGTATGAACAGTGTTGTGTTTGTGTACCAGCAGCAGCAGTTGCATTAAGAGGCTCATTTGGAGTGAGTGTGTTTGTTGAGGGAGGGGGGGGGGGGGGGGTGCAGCGATTGTTTGCAGGGGGAAATTTTCTGCATTTCTGTGGTCCAGTGCTCCCTGTTCTGCATGGTACATGGAGTACATGGATGCGCACAGAGGAGCTTGCCGCAAGTCAGCATGGAGGGGGGGGGGGGGAGCTCAGGCGCTCTCTCAAAGTATGTTAGATGACGTCCCCGCACATACATGTGACTCGCGCATTACAGTGTGTGTGCATGTAGTTGGTCAATGTTCGAGCACATCAACTGTCCACACTGTCAACAGTCCACCGGGGGGTGGGCGTTTGACCCTATCAGTTACCGATCGGCCGGACGTGGCCACGCCCTCTCCCGACCGCAGCAGCGGGGCGTGCGTCAGCGGGCCGGCCGAGCGCTGCGCGTGAGCGGCCGGCCGGCCCGCAACGCTGCACCGATCAGCTCTGTGACGCTGACGGAAACGGAGGAAGCTTAGCGGTTGTAACGTTTGCACATTTCAAGAGCTCAGTACTGCACGTTTATTGGAGTGTGTCACGATGGGGTCAGCTATGAGGCACATATATCTAACGCGCTCACATAGTGGTGCTGCAAGTGGTGCTGCAAGAAACCCATTCTGCTCCATACATGGAACCAGTTTGGAGGATGTAATGGCGCGCCGATATTCTGTTTCCGGGCGACGTAGTGCATCAAGCGGGGTTGCCGTTGTCTCTCCAAAGTGGCTGTATGGTGTAATACAGGGCGATTTCGCAGATGACAGTAGCAGAATGTCGGAGAGCAATTAAGTCCCGATGGCAGTAGTTTAAATGTCATCGGTGTGTGCTTGCATGAGCAGTGAAGGTCCCGTCAGACGAAGTTGCCTCCTCGGAAACAGGTCGTGACGCGCTAATTAATTTCGCCGATGACACCATCATCGTGCGTGGAACTGTTGGCGTGCATGTCGGATAACTTGACGCCGTGCCCAGAAAAGTCCAGGAGTCAGATGCTTGGAAGAAGAAGAAAAATCTGAGCTAGTTGGAGAATAGTGATTCAAAGACACGCGGAGACAGTTGAATTGAAATGCACGGTGGTGTACCTGGAGGAGGCTAGATCCGATTCAACAATTACGGATTGGTTGCATTTTTCTTGGCGAAACCGTCTGTTCGTCGCATGATTTATGTGATATTACTCCCAAGGCTCAAAGCGACAGTATGTTATAAATAAAAACCGTGCCAGTGAAGAGCAAGGCTGGTCTGGGAGTTTGGCGTTTTTGTAGTGCGTCGAGAGAGGATGCTGGATTTATGAAATCAGTAAAACAGCACTGCCTGCCAACAGCAGGTCCGGGCAATGTGACATTGACGAAAACTCTGAACGTTTGGTTAAAATGTTGTAAAGGGAATATGCAGGTAGAGCCTTCGGCGAAACGAAGCTGTAGCAAGCGGACTAAAGGTCGTCCTTTGGCCACTTTGTCTGCGTCTCCCCGCACCTGGGGGCCTAACGCTTGTGTTCTGTAGCTAGTGTCTTCCGTCTCCTCGCACCACAGGCCTGAGCTCTTCTGTGGTCTGTAGCCAGTGTCCGCGTCTTCCCGCACCAGGTAACTGCTGCGGCCTGTAGCCAGTGTCTGCGTCTCCCCACACTAGGTAACTGCTGTGGTCTGTAGCCAGTGGCTGCGTCCCCCGCACCAGGTATCCGCTGTGGCCTGTAGCCAATGGCTGTGTCTCCTCGCACTAGGTGACTGCTGTGGTCTGTAGCCAGTGGCTGTGTCTACCCGCACTAGGTAACTGCTGTGGTCTATAGCCAGTGGCTACGTCTCCCCGCACCAGGGACCGTGCCTATTCTGTGTTCTATAGCCACTGACCATGTCTCCTCGCAGTAGGAACCGTACCTCTGCTGCTGTTCTGTAGCAGTTGACTGCCTCGCCGTAGCAGGGGTCGCGTCCCTGCTGCTGCTCTGTAGCCATTGACTATGTCTTGCTGCACCAGGGGCGGTGCCTCTTCTGGTTCTCTGCATCAAGGAGCCCGAGATCGGCGTGCGGCGTGTGGCCGCCTCGGCCCTCAGCGACATCTGCAAACACTCAGAGGAGCTGACTCACGTAGTGGTCGAGAACGGGGCCATCTCCAACTTCGCTGCCCTCATCACGTCCCCCGACACCAAGCTCAAGGTGACGCCCCGCCCTCGTCGGCATGTCGAGCCACGCTCTCCCGGCTGGCCGTCAGACTGACGTGTGCGGCACCCACAGGAAGCCGATGTCACACAGATGCGGCTTGTGTTTAAAGCGCTAGCTGACGAAGACGTCACCCCGTACGCTCTCCGTGGTTTGTCAGAAAAGAAAGCCGCTCGTCATCCGGCGGTGGGGTTGATTTGATCAGTACTTGATCAGTACCTGGCTGATCGTTTGAACGCATTTATTGCTAAGAACCGCTGGCATCATTGTGGAATAACTTGTCCCACGCACCTGGCGGCTCACTCTTCTAGTAGCTGTCAGCCGCGTCATCAGTCTGTCGATCCACCTGGCGGCTCACTCTTCTAGTAGCTGTCAGCCGCGTCATCAGTCTGTCGATCCACCTGGCGGCTCACTCTTCTAGTAGCTGTCAGCCGCGTCATCAGTCTGTCGATCCACCTGGCGGCTCACTCTTCTAGTAGCTGTCAGCCGCGTCATCAGTCTGTCGATCCACTTCTGAGAGCAAAACTTGTCAGCAAATGGGCCGGTCGTTGGTTGCCGTCTACAAAGGAATTTCCATGCGTCTGCAAAGGAATTCTGGGGTACATTAATCTCGGTTTTGACAAACACAGCAGCCGCGCGATAGCGCTAAACCTCACACCACCGCACTGAACTGCGGGCTGTCCCATTTGCATGGTCACTTACCGAGCTCCCACTATGACGATGGTTTCAGTGACGCGTCAGGTAATCTGGTCGGTCCAGTTGGCGAAATATTGACTGTGCGCTCTGGTTTGCCCCCATTGCGCCTTGTTCAGGTGTGTGTCACCGCTGCGCGGTGGCGTGAAATGACAACACAATCGTAGCGGCAAAGGTGTGAGTTCGACGTACCATTTGGAAAGTGTCGTATTACATGTAGTTTTAGATTCCGTGGGCTCGCGGCAAACTCCTGCATCGCCTGCGAAACTCTGGAAACATCAACTGGAACCGTTATATATGTACATATGAGGAGACGTACATACAAACATGCATACATAAATGTGTACGTACGTACATGCATATATATATATATATATATATATATATATATATATATATATATATGTATATATATATATATATATATATATATATATATAAATATATATATGTATATATATAAATATATATATATATATATATATATATATGTATATATATATATATATATATATATATATATATATATATATATATATATATCTACAGTCGTTGTTAAAGACCGTGGCGTATTCAGCCCTAATGAGCTTTTTCTAGGTGTGTGCTATCGGCCTTATGTTTCGTTTGACTTCGTTCGGCAGGCTAAAAATTAAGTTACTAAAAGTGGTTGTGATATACTTTACCTTAACGTTTTGGAAATATATATTTTCATGTTAGGAAGAAGTTCAAAAACGACTGTCAGCACATCGCACAGAAATATGATGCAAGTTTTAATAAACTCACGCTCAAACACGTGACACATTTTCATTCGCTCTGGTGATCGGGATGGTAGCTCATTAAATGAAAAAAGAATGATAGCAGCTCAGTCTACAACAAACAATGCTCCCCTTCCCCTTTCTCAGTTTTGTTATCTCATAATTTTGCCTCATAAGTGACAGACGACTTCATCTGCTTTTTAAGCGATGAAACGGCTTCCCTCATGTGGAGGGATTCAAGCATCATAAGTGTTGTATTTATAAGTGTATTTGATGGTGTACGCAACCTAGACCACTTCATGACGTTGACATCAGCATTAGAAGCAAACTCGGTTCTCGAATTCACTTACGATACCGGTTAAGACAAGAAACTTCCATTTCTTGACACGCGGGTCGGTGCCAAAGGCAGTCAGTTTGTGACATCAGGGTATCGCAAGGCCGCTAATGTCGGTATTTGCTTAAATGCCGACAGTGAATGCCCAGTTCGGTACAAGAGAAGTGCGGGCATGTTTTTTGCACACAGAGCGTTTCGAAACTGTTCTTGGATTAATCTGAACTCGGGCCTCATGAGAGTGAAGCAGGTCCTGATCAGCAACGGGTACTCAGTTCACAAGTGGACGAAGAAACCAGACACCATCTGTGCCGGGAATACGAGAGGCAAAAATATTATAAGAGACAATAAACACTAAAAAGGAACACATCAAGCTTTCATCATCATCGAACTCATGATCCCTTACAAATTTAAAAAAGATCAACAGTCTCCTCATGTGTAACGACCTGCAACAAGACCAAGACCAACTGAACAAAACTATTGCAATTTACCAATTTCTTTGTCCTGATGAAGACTAAAGACCTCACAGCATAAGCTATTTCGCGTTGCGCAAACACCACTATCCAGGCGTTTAGACATGCACCGAGGGGGAGGAGCCATTCAGCAATACAGCGTGACAGACATGGAAGAAAAACACCACAGACCAGTCACCCGAAGAAAGGTCTTAAGCGCCTGTCATGAGCAGCCTCGCTCAAGTAAGCCGCTCCATCGCTTAACGAGAAAATGAAGTGGTGTGCCACTTAAATATTACTTGGATGACAAAACTTAAAAAAGCAACGGAGTCTCGCTTGTTCTTGGAAAAGATGTTCTATTTTTATTTTGTTATCTCATCAGTTTTTTCCCGCATCACCAGAGTGTATGCAAGGGCGTCACGTGTCTGTGTGACATGTCTATGTATATATATATATATATATATATATATATATATATATATATAGTATTATATATATTACATATATAGTATTATAACCCTTGCATCATGTTTCTGAGCGATGTGCTGACAGCCGTTTTTATGCTTCTTCAGAAGATGGAACTAGGTCATTCTGAAACGTTACGATAAAATATACAACATCCACTTTTTGTGCCTTGACCCTTAACCTGCCGAGCGAAGTTACACGAAACATAAGGTAAATCGAGCATACACAGGAAAAGCTCATTATAGATGGATACGCCTTGGTCTAACGATGTCTGTATAAAAGAAGACGCTCTGCGAACTTAAACAAGAGAGAGAGAGAGAGGGAGAGAGAGAGAGAGAGAGAGAGAGAGAGAGAGAGAGAGAGAGAGAGAGAGATATATATATATATATATATATATATATCCCTCTGGTTCTCTCTCGGACGGTTTTGCATGTTCTGGAACTAGGCACACAAAAGACAACGTCAGTAACAGCGAGAGCCAGACAAGTTAGACAGTCAACAGACAAGTTCTTCGGAGCCTGTCACCGATAAAAATATTCGACCGCCAGGAAGGCAATCACTTAAGGCGGGAACACCGCGGTGGAAAACTTCGTGTGAAGCGAGTGGTTAAAGGGACGCCTCAGAAAGTGTTCCATTTGGATGATTTCCGGAACTAGCAGGAAGTTATGAACCTTTTTCTGTTCGTGTCATTCTTGTTCTGTTCGTGAAGGTCGGCAGAAGGTTTTCTCGATAACTTGTATCAAGGCAGATGTCAGCATATTGCACGATTGTTTCCTTTCTGCCCAAGTTCTTGCTTCCTCCTTCTAGCATATGGATAATTTGTCTACCATCATTCGTGAAGTAATGCAGGATTGTGCCCATATCGCTCGAATAGTGTTTCATGATGTTAAAATTATTAACAGTAGCAATACAAAACAGGCACAACAGCTGAACGTAATATATTTTCCAGCGACTCGCATCGGCAGCGAAATCGTATTTAATTTTTGCTGACCTCTAACAGGCTACACAGAAATACCTAAACTCCATGAAAGATGAGCAGCTAAATACGAGGAGCTCTAAAAGCCCAAAAACATTTCATAACTTAAATGTATCTATGAGAACGATTAAGATACACGGTGTGTACGGGAACTTATACAAATAATTATGCATACGCGAAATGAATATCAATGCTATCCACATCTTTCATGAGATTGCATTGCAATAGTCGCCACATCCACACCATTGTGTGGGTGACTCTTATGTGCCTTTCTGGAGCACCATTTTGGAAGTGTGTGGTGACGCGGCGAGGCTGATGCTGTACAAGTGATGTAGGATGGGTTGCGTTGTCGTGGCGCACACAGTCGCCGAGAGGGCATCGGAACTCAAAAGCGATTTTGGCGGCCTTGAGAGCGAATACGCATTGTGGTAAGTTGTTGGTCATAATCAGGCCAAATTCAGACGGATTCTTGTAGGGAATCAATAGTTTGGTTTTGTCCCGAGTTGTGATTGGCACACAATTTTTCGGGACATTGATACGAAGTATGTTTCATCTTTATTTTTGTAGGCGGTGGACGTGCTATCTTTATGGTATAGTTTTATTCTTGACTTCATCGTCGTCATGTTCGTCAGTTTCGTGCTCGGTAGCGGTGCGAGAGAGGTGTGTGTAATTGCCGTCTAATATGATCGTCTATGCTGCTTAATCTACGGTTGTTGGCCTCTCAAGCTTAAAAAAATGTACTTTTTGAAATCTTTTGATGAATTCGTACAGGTCGTTATGGTAAGACAGACGGACGGACGGACGGACGGACGGACGGACATATAAACATGCATACAGACATGCAGCCAAACAGTCATACAGACAGAGACAGACATAGACAAACACAGACACAGAGACACAGACCGGATATTCTGGCTTCCCTGGACTTATCGTCACTTTTGTCTTATGTAACCGGTGATACAATGACGAACCTAATCTTGGCAAATGTCTATGGACATGATTCCATACTAGCACTTCGTCTTCCCGAATGGGTTCTTAGGAAAATGCCTCCGCCCTTCCTGCCAGGGTGAAAGGCAGGCGACGCCATATAGCCACAGCAGCTGAGTGCGTCGTAAAGCCCCAATGACAGACAGACAGACAGGAAAATGCCTGAAGTCTGCAGTAAGGATACGCCTTTCCGTCTCCATCTTGGATAGTTGTACCGTCGAGTCGACGGTGTGGCAATGGGCTCATCGCTTGGCGTGCTCTGCAAAAAGCTATATGGCACATATTGAATCCATGGCGATCAACGGCATGAGTACCAAACCCTATATATGCTGTTAATATGTTGACGTTTTTATATTCACTGTGGGTGACAGCTTCGCCCACTAAAAGCAAAACTTGAGGAACGGTCAGTTCTCCAATTTACGGTTGGACCATCTGCAAGCAACGAAATACCGGTCTTTGGTGTTCACATTTTTACATATGTTTGTATGCCTTTGCTGCATTTGTATTTAGAAAGCCCACCGACACTGAACACTGCTTGAACGGTGCCAGCCAGTGCTCTGATAAATGCAAATATCGCGTTATTCGCGCATATGTCTACTGCGCAAACAAACATTGATCGACCGAGCCACTTTTGCAGTAGGAAGTGCAGAGAACAACACAAATTTGTTAACGACAGCCATATATTTAACAGCAGAGACGACCGTATGAGACGCCAACTACACGAACACTTCTCTCACATTGCCAGAGAACACGAACCTGACGAGCCAGACGACGGCCAAGTCGGGCAAATTTAAACTATGCAAAAAAGGAGGCATGCCCACTGGCTACAAAAAATAAAAAAGTCCCTCGTGACGGCTGGAAAAACGATGTTCGCCCTAGACTTCGGGGAAAACAAGCTTTTGGTTGGCCGTATTTGGTCAACTACACAAACATTACTTCACATGGCCAACGTCATCTTTAGCTGGGTGGACTCCCTGGACATCCAGCCCAAAACCCAGCACAAAAATGACCAGTTAATTGCCCCCTCCGACTTGTGACTGTATAGCCCTTACTAACACGGCGAATTGCGTGGTTGTAGATTATTGGGCGGTTGTAGCGGGCTGTCATTAGCTGACTGGCTAATGACTACTTTAAGCCTTTTTATCTATGATTTTTCCCTACCTATCACATAACACAATTCCTTCGGGTCTGCTCTACCTCTTCGCCTGTTTTTTTTTTTAACGTTTGTTTCATCTTCCTAGCTGGGAGTGCCGTGACTTGATTTTACGTACGTAACGTACGGTTTACTGCGTCGCTGGGATTGAGGGAGGGGCACTCCTGGTTACCTGTTCTTGGGTAACGGCGTAGAAAAAAAAACATAGCTAAGGCGTAGTGTATATAAACCTTAGTGTCTTGCATGAAGCCCGTCCGCTCTCAAAGCTGCCAAATACCACCGTCATGTATGAGCTTCGGTGCCCTTTCGGCGACTGTTCGCGCTGCAACAACGGTCACACACCATAATTGTTTCGCCGCATCACCACGCACCTGAAAAAAAAAAATGGTGCTTCAGGAAGGCACATAGGAGTGAAGCATAACTCACGGCTCCCCCGGAACATCATGGTGGACAACGCCTCCATCTAGCCAAAGTCACTGACAAGAAGAAGCTTATGACTAGAAGTCGTAGTTATTTCAGACACGTCTCCCATCATTATCCGGCAAATGGACATGAGAGGTATCCTGTCTTTACATGACTGGTAGCCTTGCGCACCCACACAATGGTAGGAATGTGGCGATCCTTGCAATGTAATATCATGAAGCATGTGAATGACATTGAAATCCATCCAGCATATGCATCGTTGTTTAAGTGGGTACCCGTGCACACTATACCTTAATCATTGTCAAAGCTACATTTAAGATATGAAATGATGCGTCGGTGCCTTAGAGGCGCCTTAATACATATTTAGAACACCTTATCTTGTACTCACTTGTGAAGTTCCACTGGAGCATATTCGAGGTCACCGGGCCCCAGTGAGCGGCCAGGGGCAGCCTTCATGAACTGCATCGCCACTCAGTATAACACAGCTGGCCGTTCCACATGTGGCAGTGGCGAGTTCTGACCAGAGCCTTTGCCAGGCGCAGCAGATCAGCGCGATACCCCGCGCCTGTTTTGGCGCGACCCTGTTTTGGCGCTCAGCGCCGTTCAGCCTTACGCAGCACCGGACGCTAAGGGACCAGCCGTGCTATGGCGTGCAACCCGGCCGTCCCGAGCCGTCGTGCCCACCGCCCGCAGCGTCAGATCCTGTCGGCGCTCTCCAACATCGCCAAGCACACGCTGGCGCTGGCGGAGCTGGTGGTCGAGGCCGAGATCTTCCCGGACGTGTTCTCCGGCCTGCAGGACGACGACGACCTCATCCGCAAGAACACCGCCGGCCTTATCAAGGAGATCGTCAAGCATACGCCGGAGGTGAGCCGCCGCCGGTGGCGCTGTGGCGGTCCCAGTCCTCAATCGCCGACGCTGTTCGCGCTTGGTTTCATCGGGTTTTCCGCCAGCCTGGAGCGCGTAGTGTACGTGTGGTCCGCGCTGTGGCCAAATGGGTTGTCAACGCTATCGTAATGGTCCAGTCATGCGGACTGCTTTCTTGGCGATCACCAGCCGTCAGCCTTTGTCATGTCGGTTTTTTTTTTGGGGGGGGGGGCTACGTGGTTTTATATATGTATGTTTGTAACGCCGTTGTACTAGTACGTTTCTAGTGACCAAAATGCCACGGACGGGAGCTCTTTACACCACAGTTTGTCCCAAATCGGGTGCCGTGGACATGCATGCGTGCGAACAATCTCAGTACCTTTGACAGCAATGTACACATTCCACAATAGTGTGCTCGGCCTTCGTAATATTTGGAGGCAGTGCTGCAGACTTCTCAGACGTCTTGTGTGCTGCAGGCTGTCTCGTGCACTTTACGACGTACCTCCCAGAAGAACGTGATAGACAGCCGTACATGAAAGTTTGCTCGAAATCACGCAGTACAAATGAACGCAGTGCAACAGGTCCTTCAAAACCGGCCTAGATATCCTATTGTTTCTCCTTGTCTTCGGAACCCCACCCCCACAGTCGTGCCCCTCCAACAGTCAGTGGTCGCACCATGCTCGCCGCTGCCGCGACCTCTGGCCTTGACCGTCCTGTCACGACCCTCTACCAAGGGCGGCGCTGCAGCCCGCCCAGCGCCGCGACCCCTGACCTTGACCATCCTGTCACGATCCTCCGCCGACGGCGGTGCTGCAGCCCACCCAGCACCGCGACCCCTGACCTTGACCATCCTGTCACGACCCTCTACCAACGGCGGCGCTGCAGCCCACCCAGCGCCGCGACCCCTGACCTTGACCATCCTGTCACGATCCTCCGCCGACGGCGGTGCTGCAGCCCGCCCAGCACCGCGACCCCTGACCTTGACCATCCTGTCACGATCCTCCGCCGACGGCGGTGCTGCAGCCCGCCCAGCACCGCGACCCCTGACCTTGACCATCCTGTCACGATCCTCCGCCGACGGCGGTGCTGCAGTCCGCCCAGCGCCGCGACCCCTGACCTTGACCATCCTGTCACGATCCCCCGCCGACGGCGGTGCTGCAGCCCGCCCAGCACCGCGACCCCTGACCTTGACCATCCTGTCACGATCCTCCGCCGACGGCGGTGCTGCAGCCCGCCCAGCACCGCGACCCCTGACCTTGACCGTCCTGTCACGATCCCCCGCCGACGGCGGCGCTGCAGTCCCTCGACGTCATGGGATCTGCGGCCGACTTAGTCAGGTCTCTGACCACCTCCTCCCTCCTTCCTCCGACCCGACCCGACCCGACCCGACCCGACCCGACCCGACCCCGGTCGAGTCCCGCCGGCCGTGTCTCGGTGGCGCGGCTGGACGGCGAGTCGGCTCGACGCCGGCCGCTTCCGCCGGCGGCCAGGTGTGGCACATGGTGCCGGTGATGTCGGGCGGCGGGCCGCCAATGGGCGACTGTGCCACCCTCGGTCCGCCGTGCAGGACTGGTGACGAGGCATGCGTGGAGGGCTCCGTGTGGAGGGGCACACCCTGAACGAAAGTGGACGCACTGTTCCTTGGAGCGGTGGATGGGAGACGACTGTGACCCCGTCCAGCAGGTGTTTTTGAATCTTGGGACGCCGGACCGTGACTCGGGCCAGCTAGATCGCCGTCACCACTCCCGCCCCGCCCGCGCGGCCGGCTGTCAGCGGCGGCATGTTGACTCGTGTCTGCCCCGCTCCCCGCCGCACCCAGCGTCAGCGCGTCGCAGCGCTCTCCGGGCGTCACGTGACGCGGCCGCCCCGCGCCCCGTGTGCCGCAGCTGGCGCAGCTGATCGTCAACGCCGGCGGCATGGCTTCGATCGTCGACTACCTGGGCCGCTCGGAGGGGCACGTGGCGCTGCCGGGCATCATGGCGCTGGGCTTCACGGCGGCACACTCACAGCAGCTGGCCATGTCGGTGATCGTGTCGCGGGTAAGGCGCCGTCTGCGGGGGCGCCGGGGGCGGCTGGACCGGCCGCGGACTGGCCGGCTGCGAGCGCCGCTGGCCGGGGTATCACGCACAGATGAGCCGCTGTATGCTGTGTTTCGCCCATATATGCATGGTGCGCTTCATGATGAGCTCCGTTGGGTGCGTGAGGGACAGAAGAGAGGGGGGTGGGACACTCAGAATCAGCAGAGTCAGCTGGTCAGTGCTGAACGGCTAGCCACGATCTGGTACAACAATTGTAGATTGTCCGTGAAATTAACATTTTGAGAGAAAAGCATCCATTGAGTGTGCGCTGCAGTTGTTGGTCCAGTATGTGTAGACATGAGTTCAGAACCGATTGAGAATACTTTGAGTCGTGTGCTTTTTGGCGTGATGCATGCGATCGTGCATCAATTGTTCAAAGCGGACCCTCTCAACCTGTTTAACAACCGTCCTAATGGCTTATGCCAGCTCGGTAGGCAAGCAGGGTTAATGCATTGGCGAGTTAGTGCAATTAACTGCAGTAGTACTTCTTGTACCTCGATTCAAACAGCGCAGCCCTTTGTCTGATGCGTCTTAATCACTTCGGGGTTTTCGCCACGGGCAGGGTGCGATAATTGGACCATTTTATAAACGGACGTTGAATCCCTGGAACCTGCTGACCTGAAGATATTCAATCGGAAGGCATTTGAACTCCTATGTCCCAAGCTTCCAAGGCGGCTTAGACCGAAAGCCATAGCACAACTAGCAGCCAAATATTCAGGCCGGGTTCAAACGATCAGAAACATTTTGGGTTGAACGGACGGACCCACCTTTTAGCTCGCAATTGAGCTGTCGTGCAGGTACGTACCCAATCTATATGTGTCGGATGCGGACTTAAACACGTGTTTTCAAATGCATTTTTCACTTCATTTCAAGTGATATTTTCGCGTAATTCATCCATCGGGATACCCGTGCATCAAGACTATGGAAAACACTTTCTGCTGAACAATACTTATTTTGGTCTCATCTAGGTTAACGCTGTTTGTCCAGTGGCCATTGTGACTCGCCTGTTTTTTCGTAGCACGAGACCAGGCGCGACGACTCTATCCGAAACACGCTCTGCCATGTGTCTGGCCTCGCCCAGTCTCTGCGGCGAGGGTAGATGCCGCCGGTGGTGCTGCGCGCCGGCGGGCTCCAGCCGGCGCCGCTGCCGGGAGCCCCGCCCGGCCATGTGTCTGGCCTCGTCCAGTCTCTGCGGCGAGGGTGGGTGCCGCCGGCGGGCTCCAGCCGGCGCCGCTGCCGGGAGCCCTGCCCGATCACCAAACACCCGTGACCGGCGGTGGAGCCGTGGGCAGGTGCTCGGCCGCCCCAGCAGCGAGCTGAGGCTGCGGCCGCCGAGGCACCGGCGCGCGGCGCGGGCGGCGACGGTGGTGGCGGCAGGCGGTGCTGTGCCATCGCCCGGCTGACTGGCGCGTCGGGCGTATGCGACGCGGCCCGATCTGACCAATGCGGCGCAGCGTAGATGCAGGAGGCACGTGGCGGCGGCGGGCGCGTCAGCGCGAGCAACGGCGCCGCGGCCAGGACCCGGCGGCCCAGCAAGAAACATACCCTTGTTGGGCTCGTGACTACGGAACGCGGCAACCGCTTCCCGGACGGGCAGCAAGAGGACGGCGCGTTGAACGGAGGGTGGAAGCCCGCAGCCCACCGCAGGCCGCCCATCGTCGCCGCCACGGGTGGCTGCGACGCCTTCCTTCGAGTCTGGGGCGACTTCTGTATGTAATAGGAGGTCATCGACGACGGGGCTGTGGACTGCAAGCTGCCGAATACCACAGCCGGGGCCGGCGGATCCTTGCCACCGCTCGCATGCGAGGTCAGGGTACAAAAATGCAGCGATGCTCGCTGAGACACGACGGGAGCAACGGAAGTCGCCAATCTGGCCGACGCCTTACTGGCCAGCGTGCGAGAACTGCCCGTCGACCCTAACCCGGCGGCGAGCCCGTGGCAACCGGTCAGCCCGCAGTCCGTCCCAGCGACCGCTCAGCATCACCTGCGGCTGGCGATGACGTAGCGCCGGTGAGACGAGGGGCACCCCGACCGCTGCCCGGCCGACGCTATCAAATCGCACCACCTACACGCCTTCTGATGGCGCATGATGGGGCAGCCACAAGCGTTCCAGCTGCAGCTCCAGCTTCAGCTCCAGTTCCAGATGTCCGGCCGGGCGGGCATGAACGAGAGTGTCAGACAGAAATAACAGTTCGTTCAACGCAATGGAATTGGGCAGCGGCGAGGAGGCAAGCCCGGCCACCAACTGGGCCCACTCGTTGGACATGGCCTTCAGCGCGCGCACCACTAGCAACCGCCGAGCACCGCCGGCCGTCCAGGAAGACACCGAACGCTGCTGCCAGCTCCCGAGGCGTGAGGCAGCGCAGCATCGTTGCATAACTTGCTCACCACGGGATTCCCTTGCCCGCCTCGGCCTCAGCCAGCACTGATGCAGTGTCACTCACCTCCGAAGGCGCCGGCGTCTCCGCCGGCGACCCTGCGTTCAAACTGCCGAGCTCGCCGACTGGCGTGATCTTCCGGAGGCCGCGCCGACACCCGTCCCAGTCGCCACCGGCTGAAGGCGAGGCCAAGACGCCAACGGAAGGGGCGTGGAGCTAAGATCAGTCGGGAACGCGGCGCAGCGGAACATTTCGTGCATATCACAGCCATGCCCTTGTTAGGCTTCAAACCCTCTTGTTTCTGAGTTTGATGCACGAACTTGTGCAGCCTATTACGTGCCGCCTATGGGAAGCTCACCCAGACATTTATGACGTCATAATAATGTCACGCGAGCACCCCGCCTCTGCGACTGCGTTATCCTCATGGTCAAGACAAATATGGCCCCTTAGACGTCCGTGGTTGCGGAGATGCAGCACGGAGTGTCCCAACGATGGAAGGCAATTGGCCAAGCCAGCTTGCGCTGCTGATTGCACGCCTCGATAACGAACCGCGTTTCCCCATAAAGAAGGCAGGCGCTTGGGCAGGTATTATATTTGACAGACAGGACGCTGGTAATCCAATACTTCAGAATTGTGCCGTAACCGAAAATGTAAATCGAAGGAAGGCAGATGCCATCACGGGAATATGGCAGGGATATCACAATGAACGGCCAAAACATACATTTCTATTTACACGCAAAAACCAGCAACGGTACTTCGCGGAGCGTGTGAGTACCGCAGGTGAGTCAACCCGTCCACTGCAGTGGCAACTCTGACGTCATGAAAACATTCCATGACGTAATCATACTATGACGTTATCAGCCGCGCATCTACTAATGAGTGAAATTTTGTTATTTAAAACAGCCCTTTGCACCTTAAAAATATAGGCAATGGTCATCTCGGCACCTTCAGATGTGGAAAGTAAAGTAAGAAGAAAGTTCCCTTAAAAGTAAATGAAAAGGTCGCGCGAGAACTTCATTGCGTTGTTTCTGCAAAAACACTACAACATTGTTTGTTCCGGCGGATTCCCGGAGACATATGCTTCAGCGCATCGTGGAAACTCCAAGAGCCACTTGCAGTGCCAAAGCTTAGGTGTCAGCTTTACGGTGAATCCTTTGCCTGTTCAAACAGTTTACGTAAGTTGCTACTGTCTTATCTATGTGCAAACAGGTTGGTGAACCGCCATCAGACTTATGGTCGTATTGGCCTTAAAGTAAAATTCGCCGCTCAAAACTTGGACCAGCTTTTCAGTGTATGAGGCTTGATCAGAGTGAATCGCTGATTGTATGCTTTCGTCGAACCATATGAACTTCATCGCGTCTGCGCCGTTTTAAGCATCCCCGCTTATTGGTTTGGAGTATTTTTGTGACGGCCTCAAAACGCTGAACATTTCCCTCTATAAACATCCGCCTAGCGTACCTATGGAAACTTTCCGCCCGGTGAAAATCAGACGGCGGAATCCACACGGGCAGTGCCTGCATTGCAATTCGAATCGGGCCCTGCTCTATTCACCTCGTTAAACTTGGTGCCGTCACGTCCTTTCAGCGGCCCGACACGCCTTCATCCGCCCGCTAATTAAGCGTTCCGCGGGCGTCGCTCTGACGTCAGGCCCCAATATATGCACACGGCCGGAAATAGCCGCGCCGCCCGCCCGGCGGGCACGGCAAGACGTCACTGCCCGGGTACGTGTGCTGCGGGTGCGTGTCCGCTGCCCGGTGCGTCTACATCGTGCCGGCAGCGCTGTCGCAACACGGGCGCGTGCCGACGGGGGCGGCGCGTGCGGCGTGACCCGACCGCGCGGTCTCTGGGGCCGCGGGAGAGACAGGTGCCGCGCGCCGGATGGCTCGCTGCCGCGGGGCGTGACGCACGGGGCAGGCGCACAGCCTAGCTCGTGTCAGGGCAGTGACGTCACAGAGAGTGACAGAGCTGCCTGTTCGCGCCAGGTGTCGGGGGGGGGGGGGGGGGGGGGGGGGAGTGGATCGGAATAGATTACGTCGGATGAGCGTTGTCCGGACAGTGGTGAGTCATCAGTGCGACTTTGACGACTGTACTGCGCTTGCCGGCGGAGGGGCTGGCGGTATTAGAATACGCGGAAACAGTCGTCAGCACATGGGACCTGCCACAATGCCCGAGCTATAGGTGCCCCGGTGTGGATGGCCTGTGCGTCAGAGGCACCGGAGCCGTTCGCCTTGTGCTGTGTTGTCCTCTTCCACATCACCAACGCCCGTCTCTCCGCCAGAGACTTCCCATATTAATAAAGACATTACATGACCGTACGTCATTATCATCTCCGGAGGCAGTTCTGAAGTCATTCAACTGCCGACCCACTTTCATCAATCCGGTCCCTCCAAATATTATAACCCACCCATCGCGAGCTATGCCACGGCCTGTCTATTCAGTATCCATCTACTATCTCTGACCCAGTACAGCATTCGTCCCGCGACATTTGACGACAACGAACGTGCTCGCTGGCCTCGATCAAGACACCGTGGCTGCCGGCGGATGCCAGGCTCCTCCTCGGGCCGTTGGCTTAATCAGATGTTTTTTAGGTCAACTTTTCCGCTCGTTGTCTTTGTAAATGACAGCTGCCCGTGACTGCACCCGTCGGCTCCCTCCTCATCTCTCCCATCACACACACATCGTCGACGTTACCGGCAAGGTAGGCAGTGAGCTCTTTCACAAACAAGTTCCGAATAGCATCAGCACTTTTATCAGGCTTGTCCCTCGAAGCTCCTATACTATATATTTTTCATCTCCCTTGGCATCTGTATGGCCGGTGACTGACGCGTTATTCATTATATTGAGATTCTGGTTATTCCAGGCCCAGTTCTGTGCTCCGTGCTAAGTGAGCATTCTGGCCCCTTCACAGCAGGGAGCTGCTGTGACCTTAGGTCAGTGTCTTGGTTAACTTGTCTTAGGCTGACATTGAGCTAGTATCTTCATTGACGATTGTCGATTGACGCGTGCTAACATCGAAGGCGAGGCAAAGGCCGCGGGCAGGATCGAGTGTCAACATCAGCTGGCGGCAGGCGTCGGCGTCATTCTCTGGTGACCGCAGTTGGATCCAGCTGTTGAACACGACATCGGCCCGTTGTGGGCACGTGGGCTCGCACTGGGCGGCTCCGGCGGGTCAGACGCCGACCTAGGTCACCTGCCGCTCCGTGTCCCGTGGGACGGCGGCGCGCCACGGCCCGGGCCGTGGTGCCGGCCTCTGCCACCCGCACGAGCGTCGAGCGGGTGACGCGCCGCTCGAGCCTGTCGCCGGGGAGGCTGGATTGCCAGTCCTGCGCCTTCAGCCGCTGACCTGTCCGCGACCCAGAGTGACTTTCGGCAGCCCCCGGCTGTCTGTGGAGAATCACGCTCTCTGTGTATGCCGTGTGGAGGGCCGCACCGATCGGTCAGAGCGTGCCCGGCTATGTTTAGCATGTTTGGAATTGTCTTCATAATCATGTGTGCTTCCATGCAAAATCAACATTGGATGAATGGTTCGAGAGACTTTGGAACATAACTCTGGGGAACTGAGAATAGAGTGCTGTTGACTGTGTAAATGGTAATTCGAAGCGTGTCTAGCTTGTTCTCAGCACGCTACCGCGTACTTCATCGTTTGCATAACTTCCAACACGCCACACAGTCGGTTCCAGGTACTTCACTGTAGCTTCCTTCACTAAAGCACTGCTAGAAACGCAAATAGCTTCACTTTGTTTGGTGTATAATGGAATTAAGTGGTGCGACCTTCTCGTCGCGCACTCGGTTAGCAATAGTCTCGCACCGCCAGTTGGGCAGCCATCACACTGCACGTCTGAGCCGGTATTAATCGTGGACGAATGGAGCCTGCTGTGGCTGATCCGTAGCCGCTTCTGTCTTTCACGACGCTCATATAATCACTGACCATGGGATGTGGTCAGCAGGGGCACGACTGACGATAAGACAGGAGCCCGCTGTGGTCGACAGGAGCCCACTAACGATGACCGGCGGCCAACGGTTGCTAAATTTCGGCCTGCGGCAGTCAAAGATCCAGTGACATTGCTCTTGGGTCTGTAGGTCTGTTCTGACGATATGTAGCCGATAGGTACTAGTAGCTGTTGATCTGTTGACGACGCTGGCTGCGCTTATGATACTAAACTTCCGACAGTGGCCACCTGACGCCTGTAGCTGGCCGACTGGGCCGTGCTGCCACTTATAGATGGCCGACATTGCTTTTATGACTAGCCTGACGCCAAGCGCAGCCTTGCTGACGCTGAGCTGGGGCCAAGCGCGGCCCTGCTGACGCTGAGCTGGGGCCAAGCGATACTGCGCTCACGCTGAGCTGGGGCCAAGCGGAGCTCTGCCGACGTTGAGCTCTGCTGACGCTCAGCTGGGACCGAGAGAGGCGCTACTGACGCTGCTGTTTGGCCGGCAGGGCGTGGTTCAGCTGGCCATTTGTCTGAACGACGAGAAAGACGACCATATTCGCGGCGCGGTCGTGTGGGCGCTCGGTCAGATCGGCCGCCACACACCGGAGCACGCCAAAGCCATAGCCATGGCCAACCTCTTCCCGAAGCTGCTGGAGGTGGGTTGCACGAGTTTCGCGTTTTCTGTTTTCGCTTTGTGTAGCTATAGGCAAGTGCTACGCGGTCTGACTTCGTATGTGTGCAAATTCTGCTGTTCCGGTGTCTCGCCTCCGGCTCACTGGTACACAGGGTACGTCCAGCCACTTCTGTATTTGACACTCGTCACAAACACTCGTCACAGTACTTCCCGCCGGCAGGTCCGTCCTCGCGCCGGCGACTCTCAGAATTTCCCCCTTGTTACTTTCTCCTATCCTGACCCCCACGGCCGCGTCCCCGCACAGTGCGCCTGGGGCAGGAGAGGAACGCAACCGCCTCTGAGCGGCGCGCGCCAAACTACGCAAACATTCAGCGGCTAGCACGCAGGTGTTCTCTGAAATATGTGTTGTTTGAGCGGCTATAACGGGCCGTTGGTGCTCCGGCTCCAGCTGCCCACTTTCGAGTGGATGTGGTTACTAGAAGAGCTCTGCCGCGGACATGCCGGGTAGACGCTGGGGGATGGGGCGCTTGTTAGCTAGCCAGCTATTTCTTGAACATCACTGCTCTTACTGCGAACATTTTACGAGCGAAATATACCCATGGTGAGCTCGAGAGCTATACAGCAATTTTTTTTCCAGCAATTGAAAGTTAGTTTCAGCTCTTCCCCAAAAGGCATTAGTTTGCCTTGTTTCCAGCCATGAAGCCATTACCAAGGCAAGGCGCCCGTGGCATTTCGAGCTTCTACGAGAGCTGATGACGGTCTAAATCACTTACTTGGGGTACTGTCAGCTCTCTGGGATTCTACGAGCGACTGTGTACAACACACTAGAAGCTTTCAAGTCATGGTAATGTTTCTCCTGCTGGAATTCACCACCATAGAGTCGAAATGAATATCAAAAGGCAGCGGCAAGTAATTTAGTAATTTAGGCGGCGCACTTAATTTACAATGGTCAATGTACTTTCTAAACCGATAGAATTCAGAGGCTTTGTCAATTTGTTTATCTTGGTTCTACAGACAGTGAGGACATCGCGAAGTTAGATTGTAGACGATATGTTTGATCCAAATTTGAAGATGAAAATTTGATTGTAAGTCGAGTGGTGAACAAGGTGTATTAACATGGCCAAGCCATGTTTGTCTGAAAATATTTATCATTCGGTCAAAATCGATTAGTGATACAATTTATGTAACGTGTTTTTTAACATAAGCGCTCGCAAATCTTGGCAACAGAAAACTCGACACCAGGCGTTGCAGTCTCCGCAGTCCGCGGAGCTGTAGCCCAGTAGCTAACATTTAGCCGTGGCCCACATGTGGACGAAAATGATGACGCTTCTGAAATGGTTACCTTTAAACACTTAAATCGACTAGTAATACAAGCCATGTGACGTAATTTCGAATATGCGCTCTCGAGAATTTTAGAAACACGAGCCTCGACCCCAGGCGTTGCGGTCTCCGTAGGCCGCGCAGCGTCGGCCTAGCAGCTAACACTAAATTGTGGCCAACGGGTGGACGAAATGACGACGCCTGTGGAAAGGTATCCCTGGACGCTTCATGACATCAGATCTTGTATTAAGAAGGCAGCCTGAGCGCATATTTCACGTGTGCGATCTTAAGACTGATTAAAAGAACGGATTAGCCCCCGAAGCACCACGAAGTGTTGTTGGAATCTAGTGGTTGAACTGGAAGAGTGAAGGTAAAATATTTATTTTCCGTGTTTCCGCAGCTATTTATCTGTCCAGGAAACAGATTAACACGGCGCCCGCCGTCTGGTGGCACTTGCAGTGGCCGAACTGTTCGGTTTTACGGAAGTTGCAACCCAGACCATCCCTGTCGTTGCTCTCGAGGTTGCGGGCGGTCATGCTCAAGCCTTTTGGTGTAATTTGTTTCAAAAATGCATCCTGAAAAAATTAACGTTCTCAGGCAAACATGGCATGACATTGCCCGTTTAAAAAAAAAAAATTCGACCCGCGCTATTCAACAGTAATGAGAGCCCCACTGTACTCAACAATAATGAGACCCCTTATTTCCTTCCGAGCAAGGGGCCTCTTGAGTAAAGCACCAAGGGTACATTATCGTTTCCGGTCAAAGGCTGAAAGGCCTTTCCGTCCCATCGCGAATTGTCTTCTGGCTATCATTCTGGTGGCACGGGGCGGGATCTTCTGGTCGATCCGGAGGCCCTTAGAAGGATATATCATAGCACATTGTTCCCATCCCTGACACGGGAGGCCATCTGACCCGCGCAGTTAACCCCGGATCAGCACAGGAACCCTCATTGACGCAACAACATCCCTGACCGCCGCAGGTAGTCCGATAGTTGTCACATAGTGTCCAGTTCCGTGTTTTTCTGTGTTCTTCAGAGATATTGAGTTCTCCTTGACTAGATTGTAGATGAAGTGGGGCTCCTAATTTGTATTAACATGGCTCACCCATGCTCGTCTTAAAATGCTCAAGATCCTGTCAGGGCTAATTAATGATAAAAAAACTACGTAATATGGTGTTGAACATGCGTGCTCGCAAGTCATATAAATAACGACCTCGACGCCCGGCGTTGCAGTCTCCATGCCGTGCGGCGTCGGCTTTGTGGCTGTAACACTAAGCGTTGGCCAATGAGCAAACGAAAAAGATGACGCATCTTAAGGGAGATGGCTGGTGAACTAGGTAAATCGGCATGCATGTTTCATGTAGTGCAAAAGTAAGCCAAATGCAACGTTAATCTGAAAGGTGGGGGGAGGGCAGTCAACATTGCTGCCCCCCCCCCACCTTGAAGAGTGGGGGTATGGCCCCCTGCCCCCCCCCCCCCCCCCCTGTTCCTACGCCCATGGATCTTGGCGACAAACAAGGTTCAGCACCGAAGGCGCAAGAAGTCACCCCAGGTCACCCGAAAACCGTAAGTAACCCACGACTCGCACCAGAAAATTCACCTGCGCACACATGTCAAATCAAGATGATGCGACACCGTCTTGAACGGCGTAAATTGGCTCACCTTCTACGGTAGCCACATGCCAGGAAGCCTTGGATACCACGTTGGAACTGGTAGAGGCGTAACACTTCCGGTTATCAGGCCCAAGAAGAGCAACGCTGATGGCAGCGTGCACCGAAGGAAGTGTATCAAAGATGTGCCCACCCTTTTTGACCACCCCAAAAATCCCGACTATCCGGACAGGAATACGCTGTTCTGTACAGGCCTACCCAGCGCTTATTATGCATAGAGAACTCGGGAGTTCCTGGGTGAAACTCGGCTGGCGCACGTGCCGCGTGACGTCAGTGCCGTCTGCACGCCCCAGCTACGCCTATTGAGATATGTTGGATGTCATTAGACAGGTGTCGTGGGGGGGGGAGGGGGGAGGGGATGCACTCAAGCTGGCTCTGCAGCGCAGAGTACGCCAGGGGAGCGCTGAGCTCGTCCCAGGCGTGCCTCCCAGCACAGTGGTGCACGTGCCGCCCAGGCATATGCCCGCCGCCGACGCAGTGGGGGTGGTGCAGATGATTCACTAGGCAAGACATGACTGCGGCTTCTACAGTTACGTTTCGGTCAAGTCTTTTGTTGAATACTTTGCAGAAATAGACGTGCTCACAGCATGGCCTAAAGGGAACGGGCCACATTTTGAACTGAAATAGACATCTTGAAGACCATTCGGTGCAATTCACGGTCCTGTCCGTCTTAAAACCTAAACCCCTTTTGTTTCTCAGCTACACGCCCGAGAAGATGTGCTGACTTTTTCCAGGAGACGTATTCAAGGTCATCCAGATACCTATGACGCCATAATAATAACATTCAAATCCTGTCATTCCATTGGCCATGCGGCGATCAATGGTACTAAATATATAATTGTGACGTTTATATCTGGTGTTCGTGGGCACAATTTCCAGATATAACGGCTGTCAATTGGCTCTTAATCAATGTTGTGCAAGGTGCGGTGATGTAATCAAACAAAGACGTATTGATGAGCGTATTTAAACAAAAGAGAAATTGTTGTCTGGTCTGGCCGATGAAGGCCAGGGATCTATTGATCTAAAATGGCGTCGATCGACCTCACTTCAGCATTACCTCACACAGCACCGAGCTTGTTGAACGTGCCGGAAAGGGTAGTTCTTTACGATAACCTTGAATTAAAATACCAGAAAAAATCTCGAATGTTTTTAGTGGGTTCGACACTACATAGATTAGAAAGGTTCACTTACGTGATCAACCCGAGTTATTTTTGCTTAGCAAAAATCATCCCAGTTAAAGCTGGTTGCGTGAGGTAGTGTGAGGTACATGAGACAGATTGGCCTCCCCAAAAGTCGCTACTCAATTTTAACTCATTTATCTCAAAATTCGACGCAAACGCGTTCAACTAGAGGCCTACGTACTCCGCTACCTTTGTCGTCTCTAGGTTACTTCGTCGCCGCTTTCTCTCGGTATCCCTCCAAGAGCCGAATCCTTGCCTCGCCTCACACCGGCACCGAGGCTGACGCTGTGTTCTGATGTTTGTTTGGTTTGGAATAAACCATTTTGGCTATTGGTGACCATTTCAAAGCCAAGGGGTGGAGAAGAGTGGGTGGTGATTGGGTAAAACTACCTACAACTAGGAGCTCTCGCAGACTTACCTTGAGCGGGAACCTCTCTATGGTGTTTGTGCTCGGCGCTCGGATGGTGTCCCGCTAGGGGCCATTTAAGCCCGCTCATCGGTGCCGCATGCAAGTTGTCCTGGACAGAGTTGCGTCGTGAGGGTGTAGGGTGAAACGTGAGTGAGGATAGCACGACGGACGCATGCGATGGCTTTGACTGACCAAAACGAAATGAGTGGATGAAGTGCAGTGTGATGGTTGAAGATCACAGTTCTGTCCCATCTTTCCGTCTGGAGCGGTTGTGGTCCTTCAGACTGGCAGACGTGCTACGGTATGGCCCGTAAGATTGTATACAGTCTGTGGCCGCTGTGGTCCATCAGACTGCTTGTATCTGGGGACGGTTATGCTCAGTCGGTCTGCTCAGGCAGCTCAGGCTGTGGTGGTCACAGTCTGCCGGACCATTTTGTCGCTAGG